CCTCCTCCTTTCTTTATCTCTGCTGGTGACTCTCCTTGTGTTAAGGCAGTCCAGTGGCTGGCACACCATCTGCATGGTGGTTGTGGCATCTGGACGCCTTCACAGCAGTCATGGTTATCGTGTGGCTGTGGTGGGCCACCCACATGGAGAAGATGTTTTTGGCATGCTCCTTGGCACTGGCGTTGTGCCTGGTTGTGGAGAATGTCCAGTCCCAAGCTCCATACCCCAGGTCCCTGAGTGGGTCCTGAGGCACTGGCACAGTGTGCCTGGTTGTGGGAGGAGGGTCCAGTCCCCTTCTCCATGCCCCAGGTCCCTGGGTGGTCCCTGAGGTGCTGGCATGGGGTGCCTGGTTGTGGGAGGGGTGTCTGGTCCCCTACTCCATGCCCCGGGTCCCCAAGTGGGCCCCAAGGCACTGACATGGTGAGCCAGGTTGTGGGAGGGGGGTCCAGTCCCCTTCTCCATGCCCCAGGTTCCTGGGTGGCCTGTGAGGCACTGGTGCAGTAAGCCTGGTTATGGGAGGGGGGTCTGTTCCCCAGCTCCATACCCCGGGTCCCTGGGTGGGCTCTGAGGCACTGGCATGGTGAGCCTGGTTGTGGGAGGGGCATTGGTCCCCTTCTCCATGCCCCATGTCCCTGAGTAGGCCCTGAGGCACTGGTATGGGGTGCCTGGTTGTGGGAAGGGGGTCCAGTCCCCTTTTCCATGCCCTGGGTCCCTGGGTGGGCCCTGAGGCACTGGCATGGTGATCCTGGTTGTGGGAGGGGGGTCCAGTCCCCTTCTCCATGCCCCAGGTCCCTGAGTAGACTCTGAGGCACTGGTATGGGGTGCCTGGTTGTGGGAAGGGGGTCCAGTCCCCTTTTCCATGCCCTGGGTCCCTGGGTGGGCCCTGAGGCCCTGGCATAGAGAGCATGGTTGTGGGAGGGGGGGTCCAGTCCCCTTCTCCATGTCTCAGGTTCCTGGGTGGGTCCTGAGGTGCTGGCATGGGGTGCCTGGTTGTGGGAGGGGAGTCCAGTCCCATTCTCCATGCCCTGGGTCCCTGGATGGGCACTGAGACATTGGGGGTGTGTCTCAATGTGGGAGTGGGGTCCAGTCTCCGGCTGCAATCCTCAGGTTCCTGGGTGGGGCCCCAAGGTGCTTGCAGTATGAGTGGTTGTGGGTGGGAGTCCTGCCCCTGGCCTCATGCCTCATGTCCCCTGGTGGACCCCAAGGCATTGGTGGTGTGCCTGGGCTGGAACTAATTTTTTGTCCTTTGCTTACTTCTAAAACCGAGGAACTTCCTGTGGAACCAGCACTTGAGCTGTGTGGTTGAGCTAAATTGCCGCTTTGCTGCTGTTTCCGTAGGGAAGACGTTTTGTGCAGCTCAGGGTTCAAGGGTTGACCTGAAAGGTACCTCCAGCTCTCCAGGTACTCGGTGCACTTGGGTTGTGTAGAAACTCTGATCTGGGTCTGAGTTTTTTCATTAAACTGCACCCCATACAATTCTGCATTCCAGACCAGTCTCCTCTGAGTGGTCCTGTGCTGACTGGGGGACAGATCAGTTGTTCTTGCTGTGTCCCAGTGTTCTCCCAGTGGGCCCGTCTTCCCCACCGCCCATGCTCCAAACACCTCCCATGGGATGGGCCCTGCACTGGTCCCTGCAT